AATAAACAATGACATATAAACAATTCAACTGAAATATAGTAGCATGAAGTACAGATCAGAATATACATATAAAGGTACAAAAGGCGGTCTTATCGCTAGGGCGATCTCTTACAGACGATCTTTGGTTTAAAGAGAACATATAGAAGTGGGTAGGTCATCGTCATATCAGTCTACTATCCTGGGCCTCCCCCAAAAAGGAGGTTTTGTCAGTAGTTACAACGCTTGGATTGACAATCGCAAAGTTAAGTTTAGGACACAGCTGCCAATCCTTCGGCCATTAAGTTCTCTCAGTCGCCTTTTACGACATCCACTGCAAAGGATTGGCCTATTCTATGCCGGGACCACATGGGAAAGAATAAGCAAATAAGAGATTTACTTAATACTAATTTAACCTGCAACTTCATTTATTACCTTTTTTTTTTTATTTGTCTATATCTAGGTATTGATAAGAAGGTAATAAACTAGAAATAAAAGGATTTTTTTCTCTAAATAAGACTAAAAGGGGGAAAGGGATTGTTAGTGATGAAGACTAAAAATCCCATTGCTAACAATATACCCAACCAGGTCGACCTCCTCGTGGTTCCCCCTGGAAACTATCATGGTTAATTCCTGATGAATTCATCATGATGGGCTAACTGGCCTGTTTTCATTTTCATCGACCACCCTTCACTGGTGCTCCGCCAGCGTATACCGTTGGCGCAAGAGGGGTTACCATTCCATTTTTACCCATCATAAAAAAAATAAGACTAAAAAAGGTAGAAATAAATAAGTTACAAACGAATAAATACAAATAACGTACGTTCCCATCGACTGTCTATAGGCTTTCAATATTTTATCTTATATTTTTTTATAAATATTAAAAAAAACAACGGTTTATATTCTCACCTGGATTCCGTAATACAGGTACGTCATATTAGTTCAATATATACACATTTCTAAACAAAGGCCCCAGGTGTTCCACAATTTGTATCGTGTTTTTACTTTAGCTGAGTGGAACAGGTTAAAAATATTGTGGAGAAGAATTTATTTTACCTGCTTTTATTTTACCACAACTTCGCTCACGTGTGGTATTAGATTTCTCGTGGATTTCGAACCATTTCGAGTTCGGATTTCGAGTGTAAATGTAAAATTTCACATGCCTAAGTTCTATACGAGTGAAATAGCAAAATTAATCAATCTATAATACCACAGCTTAAATAAAGATGTAAGATAAACGTCAAAAAGTGTTTCCCGCCAAAAAGTAAACATGCCTATTTTTTTTTTACTATTCATTCAAGATAAAGGAGTAAACCAAAGACATTTTTATTTGGAAAGTTACAAACTTGTAATATGTAAGACGGAATTACATTTTCAATGGTATGTTCCAAATTGAGGTTGTTTGGAAGAAAAACAATATTGTACAAGTTTTAGATGACTGCAAATCTTCGGGGAAATAAAGACATGGGGATCTACTTAAAAGTTTCCGTTCGAAATTACTTCAAAACAACAAATCTTATATCATACATCTTTGTTTACTAATATTAGAGTAGAGGTGGGTAGATTTTTTTATACAATTTAGAATGGCAACACCTCTCTATCACCAAAGGGAGACTTTGTACAAAAGTCGTTAGCTTGGGTACCTCTGCCCCATTCGTGTTTCAATCGTAAATAAGTTGTGTTTGCATGGCTGTGTTTCGGTTTGAAGGGTAGGATATGGCGTGAACTTACAGGGTACAGAGGTATAACACCTGAGTCCTCAGGAATGGCAACGCATGGGGGGTATCATAGGAACAGTATATTCTGTTATATCCATGGTACTGCTCATGTCTATAGGCGACGGTTACCACTTTCTATCAGGTGGGCCGTCAGTTTATTGCCCATTCTACTTTTAAATATATAAAAAAAATTACAAGCATTTGTTTACAAAGCAATAACGAACTGCTGATTACCCCTATAACTTGCAAGAACTTGTATCGGGAGCAGTTTTATAGTGCTTTATGGGGCTGACTTATGGCGAGGGACGGCGGCTCACTCGTTCAATTATCGGTACACGGTACATTTTGAGAAATATACGATCCGTTTACTGATAACATTACAATAATGGTATTTCATTTATCATACCCACAAATGGTATGGTTACGTTTCTAACCGACTTCAAAGAGGGAGGTTTTCAATTTCGTTGTTTCTTTTATGTTTGTTGCCTCAGAACTTTGTCGTTTGTAAACCGAATTGCATTTTTTTTTTGTTATCTGAAAAGAAATATTTTCAAGCACTTGTTTTATAGAAATTTCATCTAAATCGATTTAGTAGTTTGGTTTTTAATTTAAAATTGGTTTCGTCACAATTGAAGGCGGTGTTTTTTTTTTTTATTATACTTTTCATACGAAAATTGATGGATTTTTTAAGTATTATGTATTTATGTATGTGTTATGTAGATCTGTATGTCCGTAACAATGGCAAAATGTATTCGTTATAACAGTTTTGAAATTATTTAAGAAAAAAAAAGCAAAAATTGCTCATCCTTTATCTCGGAAAGTACTAGGTTCGAATTTTGTAAAAATAAAAAAAAAAAAACAGAAAATAGTTCCTTACCTATAGATTACAGAGAAAGCCATGAGAAGTCTATGGTATTTAAAGGAGAATAGAAAATTACTCAGTTTAATTTGTAGTTGTGAAGTATTATTAATACAAGCAAATTTTTTTATGCCACTTAGAATGGCAAACAAGCTGACGGCCCACCTGATGGAATGTGGTAACCATCGCCTATAGACATGAGCAGCACCATGGAACACAAGAACAGTACCAACTGTCTCAAGTGATCTGACACTCTCGTGTCATTAGAAAAATAGTATGTCAAAATCACATACACAATAAGCGAAAACGAGTGTGTGTGCGGAACCCGAAACGGGCCTAAACTAACACAGTTTGACGGTGACAGGCTCGTAACTGCGATTTTATTGGATGACAGTAAATATAATCCCGCCTTTTTCATAAGAGACGACTAAGGGAACTTAATGATCGAGAGACAGGCAGCAGCGTCTCTCTTAAGACATCACCAAAGCTTAACTGCGATTGCCAACCTGTATGCCAAGCGTGGCAATTACTAGTAAAACCTCCCAAAAGGGGGGTGCTTATGTTCAGCCGTGGACAGTTAACGGCTTATATAATGGTGAAATATAATCGAGGCATAAACAATACAAAGACACTTCCGTGTCGGCATTAGCATCTTATGGATTTATAAACATTATATGTTATCCACTTTGGTCTCCGGTCGTCCACGGGGTTGGTTCTGATCGAAAGATCGAAATTTCCAGAACGAAAACGTTGAAACCAAAAACGTAACGTGATTTCTTTTGCGACACCAGCGTTGTACACATCATTAATCCTTCGAGCTGTTTCTGCAGCACTGGTGCTACAGTAGAATTCGTACTCATAAATATACCGATATTCCATGTTTTCTATTATGTGGTAATAAGCGATGCCAAGGGAAAAAGTCATGAGGAAAAAACAAATGAATGACTCTTTTCACAACTCAAATGTACCAACTAAATGAATTTATATATTTGAATTTGGAATTCTTAACCAAAGAGAAGACATTTCAGTATAAAGTGGTCAGTACGACAAAACGCTAATTTCATATGTAAGGACCTAATATATAACTATATATATAGGCTTTTTAGTATTAACCAGATGGAGACTTTGTACAAAAGTCGTTTGCTTGAGTAGGTACCTCTGTCGGATTCGTGTTTCAACCGTAAAGCAGTTGTGTTTGCATGGCTGTGTTTCGGTTTGAAGGGTGGGGATATGGCGTGAATTTACAGAGGTATTACGCATGCGTTGCCGACCCTGAAGAAACCTCTTTACCCCCCTTTTGAAGAACCCTATGCTGTAGTCTCTTGGGAAAACCTCGGCAGGGAGCTCATTCCACAACCTGAGTGTTAGTTAGTTCTATACTTTATTTCATTCAAATAATTCCTTTATTTCGAAATCACAACTGCATTCACAGTTTTATGATCTTCAATCAAATTCTCATTAAAAAAAAAATCACAAAATTGACGACACGAAAAGGAAACGCACGGGAACATTCGGCGACCGCAAAAACCGGCGTCCGGTCAGTTCGACTGGTGTTTAGATTGCGGTGGGCAGCCAATTTGTCCAGTCCCCCTCGCTCGCTTCCGTTCAGTTTGTTCTCCCGTCGAGATGACTCCCAGGGTTGGCAATTGGCAGCAAATACAGACAAAAAATCACTCAAATAGAAACAGATGATACAAGTACTTTTGACTATGAAATGGATGTTACTGCTTAACATCATATGAGTCGTTAACTATCCACTGCTGTACATAAGCCTCTTCCTCGATGGGGTTTAGCTAATAGTTGCCACGCTTGGCAGCAGGGTTGACAACCGCAATTAGGCTTTGGATATATTTTAAGAGAGACAATGCTGTCCATCCCTCCACTATAAATTTTGAAATAACAGAATTTACAGGGTACAGAGGAATAACACCTCAGGAAGTCTCAAGGAGTCCTCAGGAATTGCAACATATTGGAGGGTATCATGGGCAAAACAGTATACTCTGGTATGTGCATGGTACTGTTCATGTCTATAGGCGACGGTTACCACTTTCCATCAGGTGGGCCGTCAGCTTGATTTCCATTCTAAGTTGCATAAAAAAAAAACATTTGAAGATCAAATTATTGTCATTAGACCTCTTCAAATATTAAAGTCTATAGCAGTAATCACAATAGCGTTTTACAGCTGTTACTTGATTGAAGCAAACACGAGAGATATTTAATAAAAATATGATAAATACCACGCTTACATGACGTGAACATTTTATGATAAAAATAAAACTGGTCAGGTGCGAGCCGAACTCACACACGGAGGGTTCCGTTCATAACATTTTTCACATTTTTATCGAAAAGCATAGAAATAATTAACCCTTACACTCCAGTCTACTAACTCATAGAGGATAACTCATTAACTTATCAGTAACTTATTATAATGTAAATATAATAAAGGTATTATAAACATTATAAGATAAACACCGACGATTTCGCATACCTAAGTGTAAAAGCCGCTGAGTCAGTAAAACAACCGTGTCGCCGTAACCGCAACAGTGGATGCAAATACTGCAACAACGGAGTGCAGAGGTTTAAAAATAAGTTTTAGAGTACGCAAATATATTACAAAAATAATTCATTGTAGTGAACGTGAGGTCACAGCTGTGAAAGATACTCCTAATGGTTTACCATTCCTGAAAGCCAAACTATCTTATGCCACCATACTCTGCTACATGTAATTTCATTATCATATCTCACCTTTTAATTCGCAGGTGATCTTTGTTAAACATTATATCCTGACCTTTTTTGATCCTAGATAAAAAGAATTAAAAATAAATGTATACTATATTTCGTATATTGTAAGAAGAAAATAAAAAAAATATCTACTACTTAAGTGAATTGATGTTAAGTCGGTCACTGACATTAAAAAGAATGAAGATTCAGAACGCGAGACTAAAAAGAGGCATTGAAAATAGAGCGCATTCGTCCCAATTATGCAATCATTTCTATTCAGTGTTTTAAAAGTATTTTTTTATAGGAATACTGAATAGGAACAACATGTATTTGATCCAAAATCTTTTTGAAGAAGCGGAGTTGAGAAAAGGAAATTGGAGAGAAGAGAACGGAGTGCTGAGAAACCTCATGTGTCCTTATGTGAAAGAACTACATGATAGATAGCTTACTGGCAATCGTTTTAAATTTAGTACGTAAAACATTAATAGAATTAACAGAATAAATAAATAATCAACAGAAATAACATCTATCACATTTTACGCAAGAACCTTACCAGTTAAGTAAATATCAGAACAGAAATAGTATTTAACCTCGTTGTTAAACTAAAAATATCTTATATTACATACTGCAATTTTCTTTGTGGACGTCAATTGTATGGTTCTGTTAAAATGGGGTTATTTTTTGCACTTGTTATTTGTTTTGTTCTCGATTTGTCGGTCGTTAGAAGTGCACGAATACTAGCAGTATTCCCGAGCCTGTTTTACAGTCATCATCTATTTTATCGTAATTATATTGACGCGTTTCTGGATGAAGGACACGAAATAGTTCTTGTTACTCCATGTAGTACGTACTCTAAAGGAGAGATACCAAGAAATCTTACACTGATCGATGTACGGAACGTTTCTCTCAACCTATGGACCGAAGGATCGGCAAAGATTATAGCGGAAAGCCAGAACAATGTTCAAATGTCACAGGGAATATTCGAATTGATTGTGCAAATTATCGGGAAACAACTCCAAACAGATGAAATTAAAAATCTTATTGGTGATAAAAATAAAACATTTGATTTGTTGCTAACAGAAGCATTTATAAAAACAACCTTAATAATCTCCCATTACTTCAAGATACCTGTATTAGAAATCAGTAGTCTTGGACAATTATATGGAGATTTCGAAAATATTGGAGCACCTGTACAACCTCTATTGTATCCACGGCCTCAGCGAAAAAGAATTTACAACCTCACAATTATTGAAGAAATATCCGAATTATACAAAGACTTTCAGATTTCTAACTTACATCTTGAAAAACTGGCTGGAAACTCAAATGAAGTATTAAAAAACACTCCGTTCGGTTCAACGCCCAGTATTAATATTTTGCAGAACAATGTGCATATGTTGTTTTTGAATTCGCATCCTGTCTGGGAAACCAACCGTCCAGTACCACTTTCTGTGCTCTATGCTTTTGGAGTACATCAAAAACCGTACTCGAAATTGCCCCAAGTTAGTTGATTCCAGTAAAATTCGGTAATGTATTGATAAGGGAATATATTTTGTTGTGATTGAACGCAATTATAGCTGGGCCATCCATTATAACCTTGACCGGGTGTTGCTCGTAGTAGAGACTGGTCATCTATAAGCACTACAATTGATTACTTACTTAGCTATTTATACTTTAAATTTACTTGAATGAATATTCTTTCCTACGATTAGATCATCAAAGGTCATATAAATTTATAAATGGTCATCTAATTTAGAAGTACAAAAGCAGCTCTATCTATATGCAATTATTTTAAATATTTTATGATAGATTTATATTTTTATGTGAAAGAAATAAGACGGTACATTTACAAATACCAAGCGTAATGACTCCATATTGATAAAATTGATGGTAAATATTATTTATTGTTTCTGTATTTAAGGATCTTTTAACGTATTTGGAATCTTCGGTCAACGGCGTGGTTTACGTAGCATTTGGCACAACGGCGAATATATGTCAATACTCAGCAAAAATGCAAGTACTTCTCAACGCGTTCTCGCAGCTGCCGTATGATTTCCTTTTAAAGTGGCCCGAAGATGAGCTGCCAGGGAAACCGGAGAATGTCAAAATAGCTAAATGGTTTCCACAGGCCGATCTTTTGAGTGAGTTACGAGTATTAAGTTAACAGCATTCAAAAATCTTTTATAATAAATGCCTCATGATGATCATAACATTTTACAATAATCGTAGTTCATATTGATATGAATAAGTCAACATTGATACCATACGCTTATAATAGATATTCTAAGGATTACCCTTTTGTAATAGTTTTCACGTCAGAAACTTCACAGCGCTGGCGGACAGAAAGGAATAATCTTTCATTCCATATGTCTTGCATATCTAATTGCATAACTCATTTTATTCATAGACGTCGATTCCAGAGCCTCTTTGCTTTTCCCCTTCGTTAGATAATAGACTATTTTTAATAATAACGTGTTACAGAGCATCCCAAGATCAAGGCGTTTATAACCCAAGGAGGCTTGCAATCGACGGATGAAGCTATACAAGCCGGTGTACCGCTGATAGGGATCCCTTTGATATGGGACCAGTGGGGTAATGCTGAAGGATATGTTCGTCACGGAATTGGTGTAAAACTAGAGATGGAACACATAACAGAGGAGCAGCTAATAGAAGCGGTGAACGCTGTTGTGACAGATGACAGGTTAGTAGATCGTGTCGAGTGAATAGTGGCACGATACAGGGAGTGGACGGTCAGTGAACGTGTCGGTGGTTGCAGCTACCGGCGCAACACAGCGAGGCTGCGCGCGCTGCTGCGGGACGCGCCGCAGCGGCCGCTGGAGCGCGCCCTCTGGTGGACGCGCTACTTGCTGCGACACGGCGGAGCGAGCCACCTGCGCGCGCCCGCCGCCAACATGTCCTACGCGGAGTACTTCGAACTCGAACTGTGTTTGATATTATTCTCTGTTTTATTTATTTGTAGCATTCTATTATACTGCTGTTTACGTTTTGTTTTTGAGAAGTATGTAATATTGTTATATAAGCAGTGCTTTGTAGGCCTGAAAAGTAAATTCATGAATGTAAAATATAGATATATTTACTTTTTTCCAAAGGTTTTTGAGACGGGTTGTCTGAGAAAACCGGCAAATTAGCCGAGAATGAAGTAAACAATACAAACTATTATTATGTATGTTATATTTTATTTTTGTGTTATTGAACCTGATTAAATAAATAAATAAATATTATTAAAGTTTTAATTGCTCTTAATAAGACCTCTCATATAAATTTTTCTTAAATATCCCTCATATACGGGTATTGTCTAGTTACAGTTTTATTATGTTAGTAATTTTTTTTATACTAACTTTATTTGTTTTACTTCGTTATAACATTAGGTAATATTATTTTGGCTGCTATTGCTCTTAATAAGAATATACATAGCATGAGGAGGTATGAGGAGGGATTTTAAGAATAAGGGACTTACTTGACCTACTGGACTTGCCAGTGGGGACAAAGAAAGTGAAACGTTCACAAAGATAAGATGGGGTAGAGGAATTAAACGGTACGTAATAAAGCTTGGGCGAGTGTAATTTTCGTTTCAATGGTCAAAAATTTCTAAAAACAGTTTGAGCGAGTGAGAAGAATAGTATAGTCTCCTATTTACTCGATTGATATGTTCACCCCAGGATAAGTTGCTGTTAAACATGATTCCAAATTTTTGGCGCTTTTAGCATACGGAATCGGAGATTGCTCATAGAAAATAGGATGTAAAACATCAATATCAAGCGCACTGTATCTCCGATACCCACCTATTACTTTTGCCTGAGATTTACGGGGCTTGACTAGAAGTCCATTGGATTTTGCCCAATTGGATATTTTATTTAAATCATGGTTTATACGATCAATAGCCTCAGAGGTATCACAGAGTTCAAAGTGTTGGTATAGTTGCAAATCATTTACATAGACATGGTAGGGAGAAGAAATAACTTAAGTAACATTAACTCAGTATTTAACTGAGAAAAGAAGCAGGAAGAGAACGTCGCCTTGTGGAACCCCAGATGCAACCTAACACAAATTTGAGTATACTTCGTCATAGCGGACGCATTGCAGCCGGCCCTGAAGATATGAATTTAATCAATTTTTTTATACAACTGAGGTGGCAAACAAGCATATGGCTCACCTGATGGTAAGCGGTTACAGTAGCCTATGAACGCCTGCAATACCAGAGGTATTACGCGCGCGTTGCCGACTCAGCTCATTCCATAACCTGAGTGTTCGTGGAAGAAAACATCCAATTGATTATAGCTGGAGATATGTTAAGAGATGAAAGGATGCTTAAAAGAACGTCATTGTCAACAGAATTAAAGGCACTGTTGAAGTTACTTCATACTGTATTTTATTTCATTTGAAAATTACAATCTACCTCATGTTTTACATCACAAAATTGGCGATACGAAACGTCTCCTCGCACAGGAACATTCGGCGACCGCAAAAACCGGCGTCCGGTCAGTTCGACTGGTGTTCAGTTTGAGGTGGGCAGCCAGTTTATCCGGTACCCCTCACTCGCTTCCGACATCAGTTTGTCTCCCTATCGAGATGACTCCCAGGGTTGGCAAAACAAAGCAGTACAAACAAAAAATCACTCAAATAGAAACAGATAATACAAGTACTTTTGACTATGAAATGGATGTTACTGCTTAACATCATATGAGTCGTTAACTATCCACTGCACACACTGAACACATAAGCTTCTTCCTCGATGGGGTTTAGCTAATAGTTGTCACGCTTGGCAGCAGGGTTGACAACCGCAGTTAGGCTTTGGATATATTGTAAGAGAGACAATGCTGCCCATCCCTCCACTATAAAGTTTGAAATAACAGAATTTACATGGTACAGAGGAATAACACCTGAGTCCTCAGGAATGGCAACATATGGGAGGGTATCATGGGCGAAACAGTATACTCTGTTATGTGCATGGTACTGCTCATGTCTATAGGTGACGGTTACCACTTTCCATCAGGTCGTCCGTCAGCTTGTTTGCCATTATAAGTTGCATAAAAAAAATCTGACGGTCAAATGATTGTCATTAGACCTCTTCAAATATTAAATTCTGTAGCAGTAATCACAATAGAGTTTCACAGCTGTTACTTGATTAAAACAAACACGAGAGATATTTAACATGAATTTAATAAGTACCACGATTACATGACGTCAATATTTTATGATAAAAATAAAAGTGGTCAGGTGCGAGCCGAACTCACACACGGAGGGTTCCGTTCATAACATTTTTCTCATTTTTATTATAAAGCATAGAAATAATGACATAGAAATAATTAACCCTTGCTATCCAGTCTATCAAATCATAGAGGATACCAATGACTTATCAGGAACTGATTATAATGTAAATATAATACAGATATCTTAAATACTATAAAATAAACAAACCGACGATTTCGCTTATCTAAGTATTAAGGGCACTGAGTCAGTAAAACAACCGTGTCGCCGTAGCCGCGACAGTGGATTTAATGTTAGCATTTTAATGTCGCAAATACGGCGACAATGAAATGCAAAGGGTTAAAAATAAGTTTTAGAGCACGCAAATATATTACAATAATAATTCATAGTAGTGAACGTGAGGTCACAGCTGTGAAAGGTACTCCTTTTTTTTTAACGTCTTGAAAATGCTATATGCAGACCCATACACCTTGTGGGAGGTGAATGGGTACTGTGGGAATCCCCCCCGTAAGGTGGGGGTGTATGTCGGAGACATGGGTTCGCTTTCGCACTTACCACAACTCCGACGGCAGCGACCCGTCCCCTGATGGTAAGAGCAGGTCTCCTCTCTTAAGATAGGGTGGATGGCGTGTTCACCCTACCACTCGGGGGATGCGCCGGTATATTAGCATATGCCCCAGGACCATTGGGACAATACTTTCCCACAGGTATCACCCCAGCCCCAGTATGAAAGGTACTCCTAATGGTTTACCATTCCTGAAAGCCAAATTATCGTATGCCACTATACTATGCTACATGTAATTTCATTACCATTTAATTCGCAGGTGATCTTTGTTAAACATTATACCTTGACCTTTTTTGATCCTAGATAAAAAGAATTAAAAATAAATGTATACTGTATTTTGTATATTGTAAGAAGGAAATAAAAAAATTATCTACTATTTAAGTGAATTGATGTTAAGTAGGTCACTGATATTAAAAAGAATGAAAATTCAGAATGCGAGACTAAAAAGAGGCATTGAAAATAGAGCGCATTCGTCCCAATTATGCAATCATTTCTATTCAGTGTTTTAAAAGTACTTTTTTATAGGAATACTAGATAGGTACAATATGTACTTGCATTTGAACTAAAATCCTTTTTAAAAAGCGGAGACTGAAAAAGCTCATGTATCTTTATATGAAAGAAGTAAATGATAAGTAGCAACCGTTTTAATTCAGTTTGCATTGAGTAAACCAATAACAATACAAACATAGGCTATTTTAATTCGTTCAATCAACATATCCTCACATGTTTTGTTACACGAACGAAGCGACGGATACAAAGTAGTATAATAATCTTAATAGAATTAACATAAAATATCTATCACATTTTACGCAAGAACCTTACCAGTTGAGTAAATATCAGAACAGAAATAGTATTTAACCTCGTTGTTAGACTAAAAATATAATATATTACGTACTGTAATTTTCTTTGCGGACGTCAATTGTACGGTTCTGTTAAAATGGGGTTATTTTTTGCACTTGTTATTTGTGCTGTTCTCGATTTATCGGTCGTTAGAAGTGCACGAATACTAGCAGTATTCCCGAGTCTGTTTTACAGTCATCATTTATTTTATCGCAATTACATTGACGCTTTTCTGGATGAAGGACACGAAATAGTCCTTGTTACTCCATGTAGTATGTATTCTAAAGGAGAGATACCAAGAAATCTTACACTGATCGATGTACGGAACGTTTCTCTCAACCTATGGACCGAAGGATCGACAAAGATTATAGCGGAAAGCAAGAACGATGTTCAAATGTCACGGAAAATATTGGAATTGATTGTGCAAATTATCGAAAAACAACTCCAAACGGATGAAATTAAAAATCTTATTGGTGATAAAAATAAAACATTTGATTTGTTGCTAACAGAAGCATTTATAAAAACAACCTTAATAATCTCCCATTACTTCAAGATACCTGTATTAGAAATCAGTAGTCTTGGACAATTGTATGGAGATTTCGAAAATATTGGAGCTCCTGTACAACCTCTATTGTATCCACGGCCTCAACGAAAAAGAATTTACAACCTCACTATTATTGAAGAAATATCCGAATTGTATAAAGACTTTCAGCTTTCTAATATATATCGTGAAACATTGGCTGGCAACTCAAATGAAGTATTAAAAAACACTCCGTTCGGTTCAACGCCCAGTATTGATATTTTGCAGAACAATGTGCATATGTTGTTTTTGAATTCGCATCCTGTCTGGGAAACCAACCGTCCAGTACCACTTTCTGTACTCTATGCTTTTGGAGTACATCAAAAACCGTACTCGAAATTGCCCCAAGTTAGTTGATTCCAGTAAAATTCGGTAATGTATTGATAAGGAGAATATATTTTGTTGTAATTGAACGCAATTATGGCTGGGCCATCGATGCCCCAATTGAATTGAGCGATGTTGCTTGTAGTAGAGACTGGTTTGCTATAGGGTCACTTACTTAGCTATTTGTACTTTAAATTTACTTGAATAAATATTATTTCCTAGGATTAGACCATCAAACTCTATATAAATTTATAAATGGTCATCTGCTAATTTAGAAGTACAAAAGCAGCTCTATCCATATGCAATTATTTTAAATATTTTATGATAGATTCATATTTTTATGTGAAAGGAAAAAGACGGTACATTTACAAATACCAAACGTAATGACTCCATATTGATAAAATTGATGGTAAATATTATTTACTGTTTCTGTATTTAAGGATCTTTTAACGTATTTGGAATCTTCGGTCAACGGCGTGGTATACGTAGCATTTGGCACAACGGCGAATATATGTCAATACTCAGCAAAAATGCAAGTACTTCTCAACGCGTTCTCGCAGCTGCCGTATGATTTCCTTTTAAAGTGGCCCGAAGATGAGCTGCCAGGGAAACCGGAGAATGTCAAAATAGCTAAATGGTTTCCACAGGCCGATCTTTTGAGTAAGTTCATAAGTTAACACCATTCAAAAACTTTTTGTAATAAATGCCTCATGATGATCATAACATTTTACAATAATCGTAGTTCATGTTGATATGAATAAGTCAACATTGATACCATACGTTTATAATAGATATTCTAAGGATTACCCTTTTGTAGTAGTTTTCACGTCAGAAACTTTATAGCACAGGCAGACAGAAAGGAGTAATCTTTCATCCCATATGTCTTGTATATCTAATTGTATAACTCATTCATAGACGTCGATTTCAGAGCCTATTTGCTCTTTTCGTTTATTAGATAATAGATTATTATCACTATCACTATCATCATCATCACTACATAGTATAAAACAAAGTCGCTGTCGCTGTCTGTCCATCTGTATGCTTAAATCTTTAAAAATACGCAACGAATTTTGAAGCGGTTTTTTTAATAGATAAAGTGATTCAAGAGGAAAGTTTATATGTATACATGCATAATATTGTGTAGGAATACTGATAAATCTAGAGGTTTCTAATGTGATATCGTAAATAAACACATTTTTTTGCGCTTACATTGCAAACGCTGGCCGAATCCCACGAGATAAATCAAAATCATGTACTGCAGTATTGTACACTTTATAAAGGTCAACAAAAAAGTTCTCGATGGTACATGTCTATCTCTTAAGGATAACTCACAGTAACCATTTTTTATCCTTTACATATTACGGGAAAAATGGCTTATTTACGAAGTGATTTTAAGCATTACAGCATTAATTTTTATCTAATTATGTACCTTAAATATATTGTCCATTTAATATAGATCAATATGTCTCTTTACAGCACGTGATTTAAAAAAATATTTCCGAAGATGTTTTAGGATTTAAAATGCAGGGACATAGCGGGGCGGCGGTACGAGGTCGGCCGACGGCGCGTGCTTATAAGTAGCGCGTCGAAGGCCGCGCTTCTCCCTATAGCACTTTATCATGTTTGTATTGTCTAATGACAAAAAAGCTGTAAACTTTGTTTATAAGGACATTCTGTAGTATGTAGGTATATTTAGTATCAGCATTACACCCGTGCAAAGCCGGAGCGGGTCGCTAGTTTTTTATAATAACATGTTACAGAGCATCCCAAGATCAAGGCGTTCATAACCCAAGGAGGCTTGCAATCGACGGATGAAGCTATACAAGCCGGTGTACCGCTGATAGGGATCCCTTTGATATGGGACCAGTGGGGTAATGCTGAAGGATATGTTCGTCACGGAATTGGTGTAAAACTAGAGATGGAACACATAACAGAGGAGCAGCTAATAGAAGCGGTGAACGCTGTTGTGACAGATGACAGGTTAGTAGATCGTGTCGAGTGAATAGTGGCACGATACAGGGAGTGGGCGGTCAGTGAACGTGTCGGTGGTTGCAGCTACCGGCGCAACACAGCGAGGCTGCGCGCGCTGCTGCGGGACGCGCCGCAGCGGCCGCTGGAGCGCGCCCTCTGGTGGACGCGCTACTTGCTGCGACACGGCGGAGCGAGCCACCTGCGCGCGCCCGCCGCCAACATGTCCTACGCTGAGTACTTCGAACTCGAACTGTGTTTGATATTATTCTCTGTTTTATTTATTTGTAGCATTCTATTATACTGCTGTTTACGTTTTGTTTATGATAAGTATGTAATATTGTTATATAAGCAGTGCTTTGTAGGCCTGAAAAGTAAATTCATAAATGTAAAATATAGATATATTTAAAACAATACAAATGAAGCCAGCGATTTATTATGCACTAGCTTTTGACTTGACGTAAGCATGGATTTCAGAAGTAGAAATATCAATAAAAGAAACCACTTATATATGGCGTATTAACATAAAACATACACCATATTTTAAATGAGACCTTCAGGAACACGACTGTGAAAACAGTCTCCAATTTGGTGCAATAGTTTTCGTGTGATTCCGGTACGAACAGATAGACAAAATTTTCAAAATATTTTGACTTCTGTTGCTGGTAATAAGAACTCTTATATAAGTTTTTCTTAAATATAACCCATGTACAGACGTTGTCCAGTTACCGTTTTATTATGTTAGTAAATATTTTATAATAAATTTGTTTTTATTAAATAATATTATTAACATTACAGCTAACAACTATAAAACAGGAGCGAGAACAAGAAACAAATGTAGTTTTATTCTTTTCTCATACCAAAATATAATATATGATGGAATTGTTCTTTATTCTTTATTGTACACAAAAGGTTATTGAAATGTAAAAACAAACATAACAGTGCACAAAGGCGAGCTTATCTCCAATAGAGATTTCTTCCAGCAAACCCAATATGAGAAAACTGACAGTTCATTAGTAGTTACAGTCATACGTGTGTACCAATCGACTTAAATGTTATAATTAAAAATAGATAAATGAAAAATATATATAAGTAAATACATATAAATAGTTAGATATATATTATATATAATACACAAATATAATAAGTACGTACGTCAGCATTGTGAGAGGTAATAGTTCTTCAGACGTGATTTGAAAATCCCAATGCTTGGGCTATTTCTAATTTCATGAGGCAGTGTGTTCCATAATCTAATTGCAGCCACAACAAAAGAGTGTGAATACGCTAGGTCAGAATCAATCGGAGTTCGCAATAAAGAACGATTAAGAGTCCTTGTATTGCTTTCCGTTGAAAAGAGAACTTTCCTCCCAGAGAAAGAGAGGTTTTCTCCCACGAACACTCAGGTTATGTAATGAGCTCCCTGCCGAGGTTTTCCCAAGAAACTACAGCATGGGGTTCTTCAAAAGGGGGGTAAAGAGATTTCTTCAGAGTCGGCAACGCGCGCGTAATACCTTTGATATTGCAGGCGTTCATAGGCTACGGTAACCGCTTACCATCAGGTGGGCCGTATGCTTGTTTGCCACCTCAGTGGTATAAAAAAAGAGAAAGTTAAACCGCATGCTCATTTTATTAGAACTACAAAAAAATCAGCGTATGCATTCTATATCATACAGATAGCTTTCTATAAGATTATTAATATTTAAAAAAGTTTATACAAATTATGTGGAGTTTAACTGCTGTTTAGACGGATACAACAGTAATTTTATTAATCACTCCACACTGACACCGCATTGTTTTTTTTTATGGGTGTAAATGGTATGGTAGCCCCGCCTGCGCTAACGGGATACGCTGGCGGAGCACCAGTTAAGGGTGATAGATGAGAATGAAAACAGGCCAGTTAGCCCATCATGATGAATCCATCAAGAATTAACCATGATAGTTTCCAGGGGGAACCGCGAGGAGGTCAACCTGGTTGGGTATATTGCTATCAATGGGATTCTCAGTCTCCATTACTAACAAGCACTTTCCTCCCGACACCGCATTGTTGCTACATTGCACCCGTGCGAAGTCGGGACTGAAAGCTAGTAGATTAATATAGATTGCAGTATTGCCGTGTGGTCCCGGTATAGATCACCCCTTGCTTTCCCGTGGGTGTCGTAAGTGGCGACTAAAGGAGGGCGAGGGATGGGCAGCAGCGTCCCTCTTAAATATCGCTAAAGCTTGATTGCGGTTGCCAATCCGCCTGCCAAGGGTGGCAACTACTGGCAAAACCCTTCAAGCCGAAGGCTTATGTTCAGCAGTGGTCAGTTAAAGGCTGACACAATGATAGTAATTGCAATATCAGTGTACATTTTATTCCATTTTTATTTCTAAACAAACTAAAGTTTCATCCCAATCATCTGGACGAGTGGCGGTCTTCAACCGTGCGTTTTTCAAAGCACTTCCTTCCACGCACAACCATTCTTTGGAGTCAACTTCCAGCAACAGTATTTCCGAACCGATACGACAACATAACGTCCAAGAAAAGAGTATATTCCTTTTTAAAAGGCCGGCAGCACACCTGCAATGCCGCTGGTGTTGTGGGTGATCATGGGCGGCGGTAGTCACTTACCATCAGGTGAGCCGTGTGCTCGTTTGCCCCCTGTGTTGTAAAAAAACCCCGCCAATTCTCAGCACCGACCGAGGGATGTAAATTTCACGGGGCTTTATGGTTAAATGCCGTTGTGTTTAATTGTTGTCTCTGAGCTTGTACATTTACCGAGGAAGCGTTGTTATACATTTTGACCGTACTCTAATCGGGCGCGAACGTTTGTGAATGATTATGTTTGTTTATACTAAAATTTTAAAGAGACAAGATTTAATTGTTTATTTGTTTTTTATGTAACTTAGAATGCCAAATAAACTGATGGCCCACCTGATGCGACGTGGTAATCGTCGCCTATAGACATTAGCAGTACCATGGACATAACAGAGTATCATTTGTTGCCCATGATACTCCTCATGAGTTGCCATTCTTCAGGGCTAAGTTGTAACGCTTCTGTACCCTGTAATTTCACTGTCATATCCCACCCTTCAATATGAAACACAGTTATGCAAACACAACTGTTTCACAGCAGAAACACGAATGGGTCAGATGTACCCAGGCAGATGACAGTGCATAAAAGCTAGTCAACCAATTTAAAAAATTCTTCTACTTCTTTAGCAATTCCGCTTTCATCAGCGAGTAACATATTATGTTTGAAAATCCTATCTACCCGTGCGAAGCCGGTCGGATCTCTAGTTATAATAATTATTTATTTGTCCGAAATGTGCTACAAAGGTCTTAAATGGCAACTGAGCTACACTAACAATGGTACTGCTCATGTCTATAGGCGACGGTTACCACTTTCCATCAGGTGGGCCGTCAGCTTGTTTGCCATTCTAAGTTGTATAAAAAAAAACATTTCGCCTTATCTAAAGGCATGTAAATTTTGTCTTAGCACATGTTAGTTAGTTCTTAGTGGCTAACATTTTAAAGTAAAAATTTATCAATTACGTATGTCCAATTAATTATTCTAAATACACATTAATTGTTACATTTAATTAGTTAATTATGTCAACATTTAAAAAATAATTATACCGCTGTGTCTGAAAATAATTATACCGCTAACAAAAGAGTTCAATATAATATAATTTGACATCTACGGTATCATTCATACCTGAATACCTTCATTCCTAACATTTCTCTTCTTTTCTTACTGAGTGGAAAAAGGGATTGTTAATAATGGGGTCTTATAGCCCCATTGCTGACTATATATCCTATCAAATCGACCTCCATGCGCATCCCCTTGGAAACCATCTTTGTTGATTCTTGTGCAATATTCCTCACCTATCATACCTCACTGGTGTCCCGTCAGTGTAAACCGATAATTCAGGCAAAGTGGGGGGAAAGTGATTGTTAGCAATGGAGTTTGACAGCCCCATAGCTAGCAATATGCCCTATTAGGTCGATCTCCACGTGGTTCTTTCTGGAAACCATCGTGAACAATTCTTGTTGAATTCGTCACGATGGGCTAACTGACCTGCTTCATCCTCACCTATCATCGTTCACTGGTGCCCGCCGGTGTATACCGTTAGCGCGGGTGGGGTTTACATTCCATTATTACCCATTAAAAAAACGCAGGCAAAGTTGCCATTTTATTTTCACCTATAAAAATACACTATACCCGAAATATGCGTACTAGAGGGAGACTTTGTACAAAAGTCGATTGCTTGGGTACCTCTGTCCCATTCGTGTTTCAACCGTGAAGCAGTTGTGTTTGCATAGTTGTGTTTCGGTTTGAAGGGTGAGATATGGCGTGAATTTACAGGGTACAAAGGAATAACACCTGAGTCCTCAGGAATGGCAACGCATGGGGGGTATCATGGGCGAAACAGTGTACTCTGTTATGTCCACGGTACTGCTCATGTCTTTAGGCGACGGTTACCACTTTCCATCAGGTCCACATTCCGTCAGCTTGTTTGCCATTCTAAGTTGTATAAAAAAAAGGCGTTCAGTTATAGAAACACGTGTAAGTATAGGCAAATATTGTAACACATTTGAGGAAATTTTATACCGTTACAATGAACTTTAGTAACTCATTATTAATTAATTCACTAATTGCCGTTTAATTATACAAATTAATTAAATTTAATAATATATAATGTCTTTTGCTCTAATATCACGTCATTAATACAACAATACTGTTGTATTTAATATGTATTAAATACATTTCAAATATACTTTGTTGTGTGTAAAGCTATGGTTTCGACAGATCGTTAGGCGTATTTATAAAAATTGGGCAAAAAAAATTAAAGAAATAAAAGATTTTACAATACAGATTACATTACTTAAAGATGGCACAGTCGCTGAAATCTTTTAAAGCAGGTATCATAAAATTTTATTTTGAAAATCCCTCTTCATTGAGCCAATTGTGAATATATGTATTTATTATGTATACATGTATGTGTATGTAGGAGTGTATATATGTATGTGTATGTATGTATATATATGTATATATATATATATATGTATATGTATATGTATGTGTGTATATGTGTATATATGTATGTGTATATGTATAAGTTTTTATTTATTAATGTTATATTATTATTAATTTACTTTTATTATTTACATATGTAGGTATATGGAGCTGTTTTTATTGTGTTATATATTCAATTTTTTTTTTTTTACTGGGTATTATTTAGTTTATCTTTAATTGTACGGTTATTACCCTTATACATTCTACAGTTTTCTTTCAGCTTCTCAAAGGTTGACTGTAAGAGATCCCTTTATGGGATAAGTCCGCCATTGTATACTAAATCATTTACTAGTATTTAATCTGACTTATGTACAATAAAGATTTTTACAATACAATACAATGGGGGTACTTCAAAAAAGCGGTAAAGGTAAAAGGTATCTTCAGGATCGGTAACGTACCCGTAATGACCTTGGTATTGCAGGCCGTATGCTTGTTTGCCACCACAGTGGTATAAATAAATTTAGAATTGAATTACTTATATGTAAGATAAATGCTGTAAAGATGAGAGAATGAATGGAGATGTCGGTAGGGGCCGCCCTAGACGGACGTATGTTGACCAAGTAGGCGACGTGCTGAAGAAGGGCCAAATTAAAAGTACCCGTAACCGGCGAGCGTGTATGAAAAGACTGATGAATGTGGAAGAAGCGAAAAAGGTTTGTTTGAATCGAAGCATTTGGCGTTCCATTGTTTCTGCCTACGCTATGTTTGTATGTATTTTAATATTTTCGTTGTTAATTTCGAAACATTC